TGAATGAGGAAGCGACTGCTCTGCGTCACCATGAAATGGCATTTGCTTCTTTGCCAGCGAATTATCCCCTCCGGCCTTGCAAGCTGTCTGGCCTCCCTCCAGGAGGGACAGGCAGGATGAGGCCCTGCATGAGGCAGGAGCTGGGTGGCTGGATGGGAATGCACCATCCCTGGGTCCTGGTGGTTTGCTGCGAAATGGACACCTCCCAGTGAAACCAGTATGGCCAGTGGGAATACTCTGGTCACCCTCATCGTCTGTGCCAAATTCCCCTCCCAGCCAAGGGGGCTGAGTCCATCCCTGCCCCTCTGCATGCAGGATGGTGGCCTCGAAGCTGGTGCTGTCGCTGCTGGTTGCAGCTCTCCTGCTGCACATGGCCACCACGCTGAAGATCAGCGCCTTCAACATCAAGGCGTTTGGGGACAGCAAGATGTCCAACCAGACTATTGCAGATATCATCGTCTCTGTGAGTGCTGGGGGAGAGGAGCTGCCCTGGCCACTCTCTGGTCTCTGGGATGCAGCCAGCTTGGGGTAGTTGGACACCAGCTTTCTGCAGGCGTCCGTCCATCCATGTGTTCATCCGTGCATCCACTCGCCCATAAACCTGTCCACACACCCCCATCCATTCATCTGTGCCTCCGTCTGTCCGTTCATCCATCCATCCATCCATCCATCCATCCATCCATCCATCCATCCATCCATCCATCCATCCATCCCTCCATTCATCCACCCATCTGCTCTTCCCCCATCATCATCTCCAACCTTGGGCCATCTCCACTCTTGCCGGTCCCCAGCCAAGGACAATTGATGCTGCTCAGGTTTCTCACTCAGAGCAGCTTGTGAGCAAGGAGCTGTTGGGATGGCGGGTGGTAGACATACGGGTGTTAGAGAGCACTGTGTCACCCCAGGGCCCTTTCAAGACAGAGGACACGCATCAGCAGAGGACCTCCTTCCCTGGGCTCTTGGGTCCCTGCTTCCCCCCTGTTGCCAGCCTAGGAACTTTCACAGCCCAGCCCAGGCACCCATGGGTGCTTCCACAAGCAGCTGCTGGCCAGGGGCAAGCAACTCTGGGCTTGTCCCCCCAGATCCTGTCAGGGTACGACATCACTGTGGTGCAGGAGGTCCGGGACACCGACCTGAGTGCTGTGAGGAAGCTCATGGACCAGCTCAACAGGTGACCCCAATGAAGTAGGGACAAGGGTGCAAATGGGATGTCGGGACAGATCCCGGCTGGTGTCTCACTGTGCCAGGGCATCTCTGGCTCAGCCAGAGAGAGCCTGATGGGCGCTGGGGTGCACCGGGAGCCTCCTCTCACCCTCTTTACATCTTGCTCCCAGTGTGTCCCCACACCCATACAGCTTTTTGGACAGCATCCCCCTGGGTCGGACCAGCTACAAGGAGCAGTACCTCTTCATCTACAGGTAAGGGATGCTGCCAGGGCCTGGCGTCCCCTGTGTCACCTGATGTCCCCCCCAGCAGTCCCCCAAGGGGTGGTGGGTACCTTTGGGGGCCCTGGCTGCAGTGGGAGCGGTGCTGGGGGCTGCCCTGCTCTCCTCCTTCAGGTCGGACATGGTCTCTGTGCTGGGAAGCTACTACTACGACGATGGCTGTGAGTCCTGCGGGACCGACACCTTCAGCAGGGAGCCCTTCATTGTGAAGTTCTCTTCGCCCACCACGCGTGAGCAGAGCTGGCGTTGGGGGCTGCCCAGACCTGGCACAGGGTCCCCTCCACGCAGGGCTGAGCCTGGAGCTGGTCCTGCCAAGCAGGGGGGTTGCACCCTGGAGCCCAGCTCTGGGGTGCCACCAGGGTCCTTCACCTCTGTGGGGCCTTCTCCCACCCGGGGGTGCCCAGGGGTCCTGGGTACCTGCTCAGCATGGCCAGTGCTGCCTGCTATTCCCCACCATGTGCCATCTCCCACCATCTGCCAACACGTCCCACCGCCTGTCGTCTCCCACCAGGCGTTCTCTCTAGTTGCGTGCCATCTCACGTCTCCAGCTGTTTCCCACCATGTCCCACACCCCATCACCTGCTACCTCCCGTCTTGTGCCATATCCCACCATCTGCTTCCTCCAGTTGGATGCCATCTCCCATCATGTACTATCTTCCCTCATGTACCATCTCTCATCACGTGCCACCTCCCATCAAATGCCACCTCCCATCACATGCCATCTCCCACCTTGTCCCATTTCTTTTACCATCTCCAACTGTATGCCACCACCTCCTGAGAACCTCCACAGGGCACACACACTCTCCTATCTCTCTCCCACCCCTGTCACCTTCCCAAAATCACAGTGGCTTGAAAATACTGATGGAAAACAAGCAGCAAACCCCAAACAACATGTAGAGGGATGCAGCCTCCCACTGGAAATTCCAGCCTGGAGGACAGGCTGGCCACAAAAGGCCAACACACCCGTTCCCTTCAGCAGCTTTTTCCAGCCAGTAGCTGGGGCTTGGCCTGGGGTGGTCCCCTGGGGGTTCCTGCTCCCTTTGTGGGTGCTGCACCTGCGCCAGGGGCTGACGGCCGCCTGTCCGGCAGAGGTGGAGCAGTTCGTGATGGTTCCCCTGCATTCCGAGCCCAGCAGCGCGGCGGACGAGATCGATGCACTCTACGATGTCTACACCGACGTCGTCAACAAGTGGGCGACTAACGTAAGCGGCGGCGGGGAGCTCAGCTCCTCCCTGGGGCAGCCGGGCGGGCTGGGGCACGGCCACCACACTTCCCAGTGGCTGTGCCGGGATGGATGCGCCCCACAGGAGACCTCTCGTACCCATCAGAGCAGGTTCCACCCTGGCAATGTCAGGGCAGGGAGGTGCTGGGTGACTCCCCTTACTGGGGGCTTGTCCCCCCATGCCGGGGAGCCCCAGAGGCGTTTCTTGCTGCCCCATAAGATTTTAGGGAGCCCTTGGTGCCCTGTAAGATCCGTGGGCAGGGACGCAGCGTGCTGCCCTGCAGAACATCCTCTTCCTGGGCGACTTCAACGCCGACTGCTCCTACGTGACCAGTGCCCAGTGGCCGTCCATCCGCCTGCGCTCCCTCGACGCCTGCGAGTGGCTCATCCCCGACAGCGCCGACACCACCGTCGCCGACACCACCGACTGTGCCTACGACCGGTGGGTGCTGCGGTGGGAGGGTTGGGGCTGGCACGGGGGGGGACTGGTGGGCACTAACATCCCCATGATGCTCCGGCAGCATCGTTGCCTGCGGCACCGCACTGCGCAAAGATATTGAGCCTGGCTCCGCCACTGTCAACAACTTCCAGAAGACTTTCCACCTCCAGAGCAAGGATGTGAGTGAGGGGCTGGGGCACACAAGCCCGTCAGCACCAGGATCCAACCCACCAGGGCCTCCCGGGAGTGCGGGTGGGCTCCCTGTTCCCCAGGGTGCACCCAAGGGTGGCCTGACCCCAACCCCTGCTCCGTTTCAACCCCCCAACCTGAGCATTTTGGGGTAAGCTCTAAACTTTGGGGTAGGAGTGGAGTGTTGGAGTCCCAGCCGGCCATGACAGCGATGCCAGTTTGGAACAAACTCAGCCGCCTCTCTGCTTTCCCCCCACACCCAGGCTTTGGCTGTCAGTGACCATTTCCCGGTGGAGGTGACCCTGAAAGCCCGCTGAGCCCACCCCTGTGCCAGCAGCTACAAGCACACCCCAGCACCCACCAGCATCCCTCATGGAAGCCCACGCACCACCAGTGCCAGCCAAGCTGCCTTCTGTCTCTGCAAGAAGCCGCTCTTCGGGGTCTTGTGGGAGTGGGATGCTCTCTGCTTCCATTAAAAAATGAGCCTCTTCCAGCACTCGCAGCTCTGGAGGGAGGGTCCCTTCAGCCCCCTCCAGCAGAACCCTGCGCCCGAGTCCCCCGTCCCCCTGCCAGGGGAAGCCCCACTGGGGCTGGAGCCAGGGAGGCCCCCGGAGCTGGGGGCATCACCTCCTGCCATCGAGAGACCTGGACCCAGAGGGCAGCAAGCTCTGCTCCCCTCTGAGCTGCCAGCGGCAAAAGCAGGGACACTGGGAAGGGCCCGGGGGGCTCAGGGCTGGATTAGACCCTCTTGCTGGGTCACAGGATCCTCTTCTGCTGGCTTGGGGGCCACATCCTGCTGGAGCCTGCCAGGCTGCGGGGCAGCTGACAGGGTGCTGACGGTGAGGGTGGGGGGAGGAGGAGGACATGAGTCAGTCCCCCGGGGAGTTCGGTGCCTCCTGGGGGGGTTTCGGTGCGGGCGCAGCAGCGAGGGACACTGGACTCATCCCGTGACGGGGTGTGAGGATGCAAAACCCGGCGGTGCGCATGAGAGCACGGCAAGTCCCGGCACGAGTGGCCATCGCCTCCCCGCCCGCCCCGCTGCTGGCACCCCGGCAGAGTGGTGACGCCGTGTGCCGGCGTGGGGGATGCCAGCTCCACTGGAGCTGCTTTGGGTCACCAGTGGGGCTGTTCTGGGCGACCGTCAGGGCTGCTGGCGGGGTTTGCAGCCACCTCCTCTTGCCGAGGCTGGCAGTGCTCAGCCTGCCTGTCCCAGACACCCCACCATTTCCTTCTCTCCCCTCTAATTACACCATCTGAATCACCCACATTAAGGCCATCGTCCTTTGCTACCCGCCTGGCTGCCATGCCCGGTGCTGCGACCCGGGGGGTCACCCCGGCTGCTGCACCCCAAGTCCCGTGCTGGGATGCTCCGGCACCGCCGTGCCTCCTTGGCCGCCCCTCACCACGTCAGCACAGGGGTGGCTATGCTGGCCCCACCCTGCCACCCTGTGGGTTTTTGGTTTCCCAATGTAGGAAGGAACCCAAAGCCATGCCAAAACCCCCACGGGGGTTGTCCGACTCATCCTGCTTTGCCGGCATTTCCAGTGGGAATAAAGCCACCCGTCCTGCTGCCGGGAGGGCAGAGGTGCTGCGCACTCAGCAAGGTAAGGATGGATCTGGGCTCAGCACCTTCAGCTGCGAACTGGGAGGGACTGGGATGAACCGGGATGAGGAGTCGCTCCCTCACCCTGACGGCGGGGCTGGGATCAGTTTTAAGGACATGGAGTAACCCAGGGTTCTGGTGGCGGTGGCTGGGGCTGGCGGGCGATGGAGACATCCCGTCAGGGAGCGGAGCTGAGTGATCCCAGGGGCTGGCAGAGGTGCTGCCAGGCGGTTTCACCACAGCAGAATGGGGTTTAGCGTCCCCTGGGATGGGCAAGCCGGCAGACAGCCTGTGCCAGCTCCGCAGGCTGCTCCAGGCAGTGCCCTCCGTGGCACACGGTTGCACGCCAGGACTTCAGAAGGACTTACATGGTTTTTTTTTTGCTCTATCCCCAAATCCAAAGCAGTTTTCCAAGTTCAGCTACCATTACTGCATCCCTGAGGCTCAGCATCCCTCCTGGCAGGATGGGGACCGTGACGCTGGCACTGTCCCTGCTCGCTGTGGCTCTCCTGTGCCCAGCCACCGCCACGCTGCGTGTCGGTGCCTTCAACATCCAGGCGTTCGGTGACACCAAGATGTCCAACGAGGGAGTGGCGGGCATCATCGTCAGCGTGAGTGCAGCGGGTGCCACGCGGGGAGGCTGTGCGCCAGGGTGGACCCGAAATGTGGCATCTGTGCCAAGGACACGAGGGGATGTGGCTGTGGATGGGATGGCATCCCAGTACTGGGAATGCCCTGGGTGGATGAAGGCTTGGTGGGGACCAAGGTGGGGCATGAGGCACACCCCCCCGTGTCCCTCTGAGCCCTCTGTGGGGACATCTGCCCTGGCACCGAGGGACACGTGGGTCCCCGCGGTGCTGCACCCAGCACCGTGTCAGGGTGCCTGGCTGGGTGATGGGTGGGTGACAGTGGCCCTGACCCGGTGGCAGGCTCCCTCTCATCATCACCGTCCCTCTTGGCCTCGCAGATCCTGCGCCGCTACGACGTGGTGCTGGTGCAGGAGGTGCGCGACTCCGACCTCAGCGCCGTCACCCAGCTCATGGAGCAGCTCAACAGGTAGGAGCCAAGCCGGGGCCGAGAGCGCCCGGGCTGAGGCACCGGCACTAGTAGGGAAAGCCAAGCTGCTGCCCGAGTAATAAAGGGCCAAAAAAAGTCATCCATCAGCAGAGGGTTTGTTTGTGGAAAGTGGAATAGGAGAAAAGTCCTGGGGCTGAAGCTTTGGACAGGCAGTGAAAAAGCCACTGGGAATAATCCAGGGAGGGGAAGGGGGATACAAGTGGCACAAAACTCCTTCGAAAGCTGCGGAGCACACAGGATGGAAAGGAACTACAGCTCTGGCAAGCTCCGGCTCCAAAATCCAACAGGACAGGGCAGAGGTGAGATGGGGGGATGAAGGGGACAGTGGCAGACAGCTCCCCGCACCCCAAGACCCTGTGAGTGGCAGGGGGAACCCCAGGATGGACCCAGTGGCAGATGATGCTCAGAAGCGAGTGGCTCAGGCACCCCAGAAGGAAAAGGGGCTGCTGGGGTGGGCTAAAAGTGGCCACCACAGGGCGGTAGCCCCTCCGCTGGCTGGGTGCTGACCCCGTTTTGGGTGAGGACCCAGGCCAAGGCTGCTGCTGCCTTGTTGAAAGGCGGCGAGTGCTCATGAGCAGGTCCGCCCAGCCCGTGTCCTCGCCCCTTTCCATGTCCCCTCCAGCACAGCCACAAAGCAGCTGGGGCAGGGAGGGTGACGCCAGGCTCCGCGGGGCCTCGGGCTGCTCATTAACCCAATTTAGCTTTGCTGTAAACGAAGGTGGGGAGCGTCCCTGTAGAGTAAGGGGTGGCAGGAGCCGCCCCGCAACCTGCCTGTGGCCAGCAGTGCCCCAGGAGCCACCCCGGGGTGGCGGGGACAGGAGGGTGGCTCAGAGCCAACACACCTCATGTCACCCCGTGACCGTCCCCATGGGGACAGCAGAGCAGGACTGTCCGGTGCCAACCCCACGGCTGCCCAGCCCCTGGCTCTGCTAGGGCCACCCCAGGATGGTGCCAGCCACGTCACTGTCCTGCCTTTGCATCTCCGCAGCGTGTCCTCTTCCCCATACGACTACGAGATCAGTGAACCCCTGGGACGGGACAACTACAAGGAGATGTACCTCTTCATCTACAGGTAACAGGGCTGGGGCTGTCCCACAGCACCACGGGGCCACCAATACCATGGAGGGGACATATGGGCCATGCCAAGCCCCAGGGTCACCATCCCTTTGGTCCCACAGGACAGACACTGTCTCCGTGGTGGACACCTATCAATATGAGGATCCCCAGGACGTCTTCAGCCGGGCGCCATTCATCCTGAGGGTCTCAGCACCCCACACCAGTAAGCAGGGGGACAAGTGGCCCTGGGCACTGGCATGGGGTGGCCGTGAAGCTGATGTCCCTCTCCCCTGGCAGAGGTGGAGGAGTTTGTGCTGGTGCCACTGCACTCGGCCCCGCACGATGCCGTTGCCGAGATCGACGCGCTCTACGACGTCTACCTGGCCATCGTCGACAAGTGGGGGACTGACGTGAGTGCCGCCGGCATCAGGGGTGGCGCTGAGGGTGGGGGCTGAGCCCTGGGGACCATTCAACACACACTGGGCCCCCGCTTTGAGGCGAGCACGGCTGGTGCAAGGGTGGTGGGATGGGGACCCTGCTCCTGCCCCATCCCCTGCCACGAGGGATGCCCCAGCACCCCGAGCTGACCCCCACGGGAGGGCTGGTGTCGGGGGCAGCCCCGTTCCCCAGTTACCACGAGCCCTGCCATCTCCCCGCCACAGAACATCATGTTCCTGGGGGATTTCAACGCCGACTGCGCTTACGTCCAGCCGAGCGACTGGTCGGCCATCCGCCTGCGCACCAGCGACATCTTCAAGTGGCTGCTCCCCGACGGCACCGACACCACCGTGGGGAAGTCAGACTGTGCCTACGACAGGTGAGTGCTGCTGCGGTGCCGCCGTCCCCCTCCCTGGCACCCCGGGACCCCCCTGCCCATCCCGCACCACCAGCGGCCGGGCGCGGGGGCAGGAGCCAGGACCCACGGCCTGCATCTCCCTGGCAGGATCGTGGCGTGCGGTGCCAAGCTGAAGAGAAGCATCGTGCCAAATTCAGCTGCCATCTACAATTTCCAGCGTGCTTTCCAGCTGGAGCAGGAGGAGGTAAGCCGGGCTCACAAACCCAGGGCTCAAACAGGTGCCAAAGCTGAGCTGCCCCGGGCAGCACCGGCTGCGGGGCTGACGTCTGTGTGGGATTAGCCACGTAGCTGCCGCATTTAAGTATGTTAAAAAATGGAGTTGCAGCAGCCCAAGCTGACTCTGGCCATGGCATGTGTGTCCCTGCCCAGCACCTGCTTGCTAGGATACCAGTAGAGCCCCTGCAAAAGGCACACACCCCTCCTGGGTCACAGCAGCCTGCAGCCAGCTAACAGGGAGCTTGGGGTGACAAGGGACCCATGGGTGGGAATACAAGGGGGGATTTGGGGTCATTGCCTGTCCCTGTGGGGAAGGGATGAGATGCACAGGGAGTTTTGTGGCCTTTCGTGGGCAGGTGGGGCAGGACTTCAGGGCGTGGGGCAACCCAAGCCCATCTTCAACCGCCCAGAGCTGGCACAGAGCTCCCAAGTGAGACACGGGGGGCTTGGAGGGCAAGCGCCCCACTACCAGCACTTGCCCAAGGCCACGCCTGGGCATCTCTCCAGGAGAGGTGCCAAAACTGGAGCCTTGTGCGTTGAGCATCTCAGCGTTGGGGACATGGCGTGCTCCTCCAGCAGGCAGAAGTTTCTGGCAGGACAATGACGGCCGCTCTGCCGGCCCCCCCAGCATGGGGAGGGGCTCACCTGCATTACACCTCCCTACCTCTCGCCCTCCTCCAGGCCCTGGCAGTCAGCGACCACTACCCAGTCGAGGTGAAGCTGATGGCTTGAGCTCCTCTTGCAGCCACAGACCATGATCCAGCTCCAGCTCCCACCACCACGCCCCGTGAAGGCGCTCCCCGCAGCCCCATCGCTGAGCCCGGTGTGTGGGTTGCTCCACGTCCCGGTCTGGAGAAGGGTGGCAGCCGTCTGCTGGCCGTGCCCAGACCTCCCCCAAAAGTCCACGTGGCTCACGGCAGAGCTCCCCCAGCCCACCACGAAGCAGAGCCTGGGGACAGGCCACCAGCCAGGAAGCGGTGACCACAGACAGGCTGGGGAACAGAACATCCGTCTCCTACCTCATCAAAAAAATTATTGACAAAACCTCATTTCAGAATTAGCTGTTGGACAGGAGGGAGGACATCCAAGGAGGATATGCAAGGAGGATATCCAAGGCTCGGGTCACAGAGGTGTCAAGACCCTCTCCCTCTCCGTTCCTTGGGGGAGCTGAGCAGGCAGCTCTCCCCGCTCTCAGGAAAGGCAGCGGTGGTGTCAGGCACTCTACGGGGACTAAGAGGAAGGGGCGGTTGGGGCAGCCATGGGAGCGGGCAGCACAACGGCTGACACTGCAAACGGCTTCACTGCGAAAGTCTACAGTTAGTGCCACGTTTCAGAGGGTCACTTGTGCTCCTGGGACCGGGCCCTGGGTGGTTGGCTCCTTAGCTCTTCTTCTTCAGCATCTCCATGTACATGCGAAGTGACTTCTGGATGGACTCTTTTGAGATGAAGGTGATGAAGTTCTGAATGTCTTCTTCCCGGTGAGCTATCAGGCGGTCCAACACTGGCTTCCTCATCATGGACTTGGTGAGCTGACGGGAATGATCTGCGGAGAGGACAGCGAGGATGGCGGATGTGCTTCATCCCTGATCGGCTCTCAGCCACTGCCACCACGTGCAGGTGCCTCCAAAACAGGAGGTACCACACACCAAAGGGCTCTTTAAACCAGCAGGGAAAGGTGTAAAAAAACCCCACCAGCTGGAAGCTGAACTGGATAAATTCTCACACAATAAATTATGATCTGTACCGCCCAGTGGGGAAACGACTGACCTACTAGGAGAGAGGACAAAAAGTTGTGCACCTCCTCCTTGCGCCCTCCAGAGCCCAAGCCCCACCCCAACACAAACCACTGGGCTCAGGACAGCAGTAACAGAACAAAATTCCCTGCTGTTTGAAACTGCTCTGGCTCTGAGCTCCCCCAACGCGGCCCCGCTGACCTCTGGCGGGACAGCCCGCTCACGCCAAACACGCCGTGCAAACGCCGGCGGCACCGTCGCCTCGAGCTCGTCCCGACAGCAGGCTCCGGGCCTGCGCCATTCCGCACGGCCGCGTGGATGCTGCCGGAGCCGACCGAGGCCTCGCACACGCATCTGCTCACACACTCACACAGAGCCACGTGCAGTGATGCAGCTTCAACCGTGATGGTCAAAGGATGACTCACACACACACACACACACACACACACACACACACACCCCCCATACGCCCTGGGAACCCCGAATTGCTCCAGCACCTGTGTGCTGCAGACACCTTCACCCGGACAGAGTCCTCCTGGCTCCGGGGAAGGATTTGCACGGTGCCTCCTGGAAGTCAGGAGAGAGCACAGCTGAGGTGTGCTCCCTATTCTTGGGGGCTGAGGTGTCACTCTAACACCAGGACAGCAGGGGAGAGAGCTGGTTAGGAACCCTCTTCCAAGGCTGGGACATAAAGTGACAGTCCTGGGACCCATCCATTTCTGTGCAGTTTCGTTCAGATTTCTAGAGAGAGAGCAGCCCAAGGGTGATACGTAGCTGCACCTCCCTGCAGCGCTCAGGAGGAACCATGCGCTGCCAGTCACGGAGCAGCCCAAACACACATGTGATGCCTGAGCTTGCTGTCTGTCCTCGTGCCCCCAACGCCATCCCCAGCTCAGCAGAGAGCCGAGAGTTGATCCAGACCACACAGGCGGACTGGCAGCCACCGAGGCCCTCTCACCCAGCCTGTTCCCTCAACTCCACGGCAGCTTTCCTGGGGTAACACCTTCACTGACAGACACAGAGATTCGGTTTGTATCTGGAGCTCTGGCACCTCCGTATTGACTCAGCAGGGCTGGCAGGGCGAGCCGAGCCGGAGCCACGGGCCCTGCACACCCAGCACGGTGTCCTCCCACGCGGGGGCACTGACAAACCCATCTCTGTTAGCCCAAGGCTCCCTGGATCGCTGCGCTGAGCTTTCCTACCTCCCAGCCATCCACACCTTCCCTTTAAACGGAAATTGTTACGTGGCTCCCAGGTACCAGGCCTTCCCACCCACATCAGATGCCCTCTCCCTCTGCCGGAGGTGCCACCCTTACCGGGAAGGGCCAGCCACTGTGCCATAATGGCTGCAGCCCTCTCCTGGAGCTTCTCCTCAGGCACCAGCTCATCCACAAGGCCAAACTTGTGGGCCTCGGGTGCAGGGTAGAGGGAGCCCAGCTGGAGGGAGCGTTCAGCAACTCGGTGTCCCACAGTGTTGACGAATGTGTCCTTAAACCTAGGAGAGATGGGAGGAAAAGTCACGGTCAGGGAAAGAAATGCCGAGTGGCAGCTGCACCCAGACGTCAAAGCCAAGAGCACACTTGGTCCCACTCCTCAGGCACGGGTCTCTGAACAGCAGCTACGGGCTCAGCCGCGCTGTGCAAAGTCAGGCGGGCAGAGCCATTTTTGGTACTGCTCCAACAGAGTTCCTGCTCCTCTCCACCAGAGCTGCTCTACCCTCGGTGCACGGGTCCCTGCTGTGCCCACTTGCTGTGATGAGAAAGCTCCTTTCCAATAGCACACTTACACGTTCTTAGGGCAACCAAGGGCCTGTGTCATACTACATTAGTTTCCCTATGCTTTCAGAGATCTCCACAACTATGGGATTTTGCAGGTACACAGCACGTACCCAGAGCAAAACATATTCCTACATTAAGCCCGACCAGGGAGATCTCCAAGCACTAGGTTTGGAGTTGACTGCAGAGTCAGAATTGAGGTCCTCGCTGGTGAAGGATGTGAGGACATTCTGCAGCCTTAAAGCTTCTCAGATACCTGCAGGATAGGGCAGAGCAATGAGGTCCCGTCTCCTGCAGCTGCAACTACCTGATTGCTGCCACATAAAACCACATCTCAGTGGCCAGTTAAACCGATTACACCTTGAAACACTTTGAAGATTAATTCTTTTTAGAGACCTACACACGGCACTAGCAGTGGGAAGCACTGGCCTACCAGAAGGGAGCCACAATGCCCAGCTGGGCTTCGTTCAGGCCGATGACGCATCTGGGGTTCTCCACCATGATCCTGTAGTCACAGGACAAGGCAAGGAGGCAGCCTCCTGCCGGGCTGGACCCCTGGCAAAGAGAAGCAAGAAGTGAGTCTAGGTCACGGTTACAAATGTCCCTGTGCCCTCAGCTTCACTGTTCCCTCCAGAGCAGGGAAGACACAGGATGACAGAGCAGATGGCCCCCAAGTCTCTGATTACCTGACTCAAAACAGCATTAGAAGATTTCTGATAGGTTTACTAGGGTGCATCCTTTCATTTACAGTGCTCTTTGTTTCTTGCATTTTCCAGTCTGGAAATCTAGTTAATTGATCTGCATTACTTGGGTTGCAAACCCTTCAGCGGAGATTTGACACAGAATTATCTGGTAACCCTACATGAGTTTTTAACCCCACTTGAGTTTCTAGCCCTAAATACCACAGAAATGGTTCTGTCCAGGGACTCTGCAACACCTTCTGCCTATAAAACTTCCATTTCTGACCACCTTTGCCATGATTCAGTGCTTGCTGAGCCCTGCACAGGATGCCTGTGGGAAGCTGCTCAGAGACCCAACTGCCTTCAAAGACAGTCTATGGACAGACACAGAACCGTGAGCTGCCAAAGTGGCACGGCATTGAAAAATGAAAACAAGACACCCAGCAGGTAACAACCCATCTACGGACACCGAGATTCAGATGGCACTTCCCTGCTGGCCAAGAACCACTGCTGGAGGAGCAAAAACTGGTGAAAAAAGGGCTTACGACAAATCACACTGCCCAAAGGGCCAAGGGACAAGCACTTGGGGCAGAGCGTGGCTGCCTCCCATCTCCTCCACTCTAGCGAAGGGGTGCAACGGCCGAGCAAGTGACCCTGGGCAGCTCCTATGAGGCTCGTCAGTGAGAAAGCAGCCGGTGGGCGCGTGACAGGCATCCTTTGGACTCCCCCTCCACCAACTGCTCAGCTTCTCCAGTATTCACCTGCCATCGGTGCCCCTCTGGGCTTTACCACTGGCCTGCAGCCCTCCTCCTGGTCCTCCAGCCTAGAGGACAGACTCCCAGCCGAGTTCTTGGGGAAAGGTACAGCTCTTGCTGCACAAAACACTGCCAAGGGCACCTCAGCCCCCATCGGCAGGACACGAGCACCATACAAGCTCTCCACCGCAGCTGAAACGGTGCTGAACCCCAGCAGCGCCCGCAGCTTACGTGGGGCCTGCAACATCCCACGCTTCCATACCTTCCCCCCCGCCAGCGCGCTGAACCAACAGACATGTACTTTGCCCAGCCATCCCTGTGTTTCGTTTCAGCGCTGACAAGCCTGATTTTTTTGGGCTGTTCCTGCCCACACGGTGCAAACAAGCCGCAACGAGTGACAGACCGCGCGGGATGACTGGGAAGGCGGATCTAAAGGACATACATTGACCACAGCGACTGTCACCATGTTGGAGCTGTACACCCGGAGCCACGTCTCCTGCACAGCTCTCCAGAACTCGGCGTAGTGCTCCATGCTCTTACCACACATCTCGGTGATGTCTAGGCCAGATGAGAAGATGTTGGGGATGGCCTGGAATCGGGAAAATACAAACATCACTGAGAGTCACTGCTCAGGGATCACCCTTTAGCCCTCTAACGCACTCGGCCTGTCAGCCTGAGCAAAAGGAAAGCGATAATTAAATATGACATAAATCAGGGTCTTTTGGGGCTCTGAAACAATCTCCCCAGTGCTCCCACAGCCTGGATCATGCCATCACCACAGCCTGCAGGGCTGGGACTCTGCTTGCAGCACGATTTCTCATTATCAAGGTTCCCATGCAGGTACGTCAGCCAAGCAGCACGAAACCTGTCCTGTCCCATTCCCAAGCACCACCTCGTACCCATGTCATGTCTGAAAATAAACACTGGCATCTCCTAGCAGCTCCCTCCGAGCAGTTCAAGAGATCTCAAGGGATGCGTCAGGTTTGCAGATAAGCAGCTTTGATTTTAATGACAATACTTGGTTGGTATTCTTCTGCTAGACAAAGGCACAGGAGAAAGAGCACAGCCATTCCAAGAACTCCCTCCCCTCCTTCCAGAGCCGATCAAAGCTGCCTCCTGGCCCCCCCCCCGTGTCAGTGACCAGGGAGCCAAGAGGCCAAACACAAGCAAGGGAAAGGCACTTCTGTCTGACAAATTGCCCCACAGCTCGCACCCCAAGCTCAGGACAACACGTACAGATGTGAAGATCACACCCCGGCAGGCCCGGTTGTTCTCCAGCTTCTCCAGGCTTATGCAAAACTCAGTGAGGAAGTCCAGGCTGAGGCTGTTGACCGGGGGGCTCTTGAACTTCATCGTGGCGACACCTGTGCCATGGTAAACACAGAGGCATCGGAACACCCCACCACAGCAGCATGCACCGCCTTGCTCAGTGGAGCTTCACCCGCCTCCCTGTTTCCGTGCTCACCCAGATCGTGTCTTTCTACCCCTGGCTCTTCAAAAAAGTCCCCAGAGTGGCAGGGCCGAGAGCAGGGCCCTGCCTTTGCCCAGATCTGCCTGCAAGCCAGGCTCGCTCAGTCAGTAGCAAACCTGGAGAGTGAACAAGCACGCATGAAGTGGCACGCTGCTTGTCCCAAAGATCAGCCACCTTCAGGGTCACACTGCCTGGCAGTTCCCTTCTCTCTGGGCTCACTGGATAAGGTCAAGTCTCCAGCTTCTATCACAGCAAACATCCCATGCCCAGGGGATCACACACCTTTCTGAGCCTGCCAATAGCGTTGCCACCCTGGCCAGCATGGTGGGAAGGGCTCTCCACCCTCATCCCCTCCCAAATGGCACTACCCTACCCCAAAATGTCCTCACTGAGGGCTGTCTGGGTGCTGCAGCTCTGCCCAGGCTGGGGACAGCATGATGTAGCCAGGGGTCTGGCAGCTGAAGGCAGGGCCTGGAATGCCTCAAGAAAAGGCACCCCTTTGTTCAATGCGGAGATGTGGCCCTGTGGCTGCTATTCCTGGCAGCCAGGACACAAAAATCCCCAACGGCTGCTCCCTGAAGGACTGCCTGCCACTCTACCAGGTCCCCAAAGCAGGGACCCCGCAAAGGGGACGATGCATGGGCAGGGACAGGGCACGAGGTTTGCCCAGGGTGACAGCCAGGGTTTGCCTGTGGCACTCAAGCAGCACCCAGCCACCTGAAGTGCCCACAACTGGCGAGACTCCCGTCCCCAGACGTTTCTCTCTGAGGGTCTTAAGCAGCTGAAGCTGGAACTTCTGGGGCTTTGGTGGTTTTCCACACCCAGGGTCACACTGTGGGGCAGGCACAGAAGGGGCCCTGCCTGTGCCCTGTAACACCCCATGGGTTGAGGGTGACACTGCAGAGGTGCCACCAGCCATACCTGAGCTCTCATCCAGCTCCACCAGGATCTTGTTGTTGCTGAAGGGACGATGTGGGGTGAGTGGGCGGCTGGGGGGCTGCAGGGCAGCTCTGCCCCATGCCAGTGGCCGGCGGCAGAGGGGCAGCACACCTGGGGGGACAGAAGCATGTAGGGCCGGGCAGGGCACAGCCCCCACAGGTGTGGGGTGTTCTCGCCAAAACTGCTCTGCGGGGACAGGGTGGGGACATGGGGACAGCCTGACCCACCGAGGGAGGACAGAGGGACACCCTGACCCATTGAAGGAGGGTGTGGGGACACCCCAACCCATGGCAGGGGGACAGGGGGGACATCCTGACCCACTGAGGGAAGACATGGGGCACCCTGACCCACGGCAGTGGGGCACGAGGACACCTTGACCCATTGAGGGAGGACACGGGGACCCTCCAACCCACGACGTGGAACACCCTGACCACGGCGAAGACACACAGGGAGGGGCCGTGGGGACTCCCCCCAGTCGCATGGCGGGACACGGCGACCCCCCGACGAGGGACACGGTGGGGCCGGGCGCACCTGACCGAGCGATCCGAAGGGCGACCGTCGGCAGCGCCGCCATCTTCTGCCGCGGGGGTCAAGGGTAGGGGGCGGGGCCTCGGCCGCGCGTCACCGCCCCATCCCGCCTTTAAGACCCGCCCCCTCGGCGCTGAATCCCCGCCCACCATTGGTGGTGGTCCCGCCCCTCATCAGTGAAGCCCCGCCCACACTGCCTTGTCCCGCTTCCACCATTTTACCCGCCCCGCTGGGCCCTTGTGCCCAGCACTGTGTGTGTCTGTGTCTGTGTGTCTGTGTGAGTGTCTGTCTGTGTCTGTGTGTCTGTGTCTGTGTGTCTGCGTGTGTGTGTCTGCGTCTGTGTGTCTGTGTCTGTGTGTGTGTCTGTGTGTCTGTGTGTGTGTCTGTCTGTGTCTGTGTGTCTGTGTCTGTGTGTCTGTCTGTGTGTGTGTCTCTGTGTGTGTCTGTGTGTGTGTGTGTGTCTCTGTGTGTGTGTGTGTGTGCGTGCATGTGTGTGTGTGTGCACATGCGCACCCCAGCTCAGCCCCCCCTGTGCCCACCACGGTGTGTGTGTCCCCCCCCAACTCAGCACCCCCCGACGCCCTGCCTGGCCCCCAACCTGGGGGGCCAGACCCCCGGGAGAGCTCCTGGCCCGTGGCAGGGGGGCTGGGAGCCGCGGGGCTGTCAGCCGCTGGGCCGTGCCAGCGGTGGCTGTGGATCTCATCATCGTGGTGGAAACCGCCCCGCGGGGCCAGCGCTGGCCCTGCCGTGCAGGCAGCGAGTGTCCGGCAGCGGCATGGCGGGGATGCTGCTCCCCCCCGCCTGCTCCTGGCTGCTGTGCTGCCGGGGGGACTGAATTCGGTGCTGCGGCCAGGGGCTCGCCCCAGCCCCCTGCTCCTACGGCTGCGGCGGCTGGAGGAGCAGGTGGGTGCCTGGGGTGGGGAAGGGGCACAGCCTGTGCCAGGGGGGCAGGTGGCACTGGGGGGTCACCGGCACCTCAGGGGCTCGGCATGGGGATGGGGGGTTCACCCCACCTTGCCCCGCTCCCTTGCAGTTTCACCGGCACCAGGAGGTGACACAGCCATCTCCAGAGCATCGCCGAGAACAACATCTCCTACAATATCGACAGACGCTTCTGGGCACTGGCAGAGCAGGCAGAGGCGGCCGCTGCTGCCCGAGCTGCCCTGGGCACCGAGCTGGCCTGCTTGGCCACTGCTAGCCGGCGGCTGCACCGCAGGCTGAAGCGGCTGGAGGGGACTGTGGGTGCCCGGATCCCACCGCACCGCCCTGTCACCCACCCACTGGGTGCATCAGTGGAGGCTGACACCATGCTGCCTGGCCTGCCAGACACTGCCCAGAGCTGGGGCAGCCAGCTGGAGTGGCAGCCACAGGGCTGGGTGGCCACCAGCACCCCCAGCCCTCAGCACCCGAAGACAAGGCAGTGGCAGCGACGCTGGCAAGAGGAAAGTCACCAGCTGACGGGTGATGCCGGGCCTGGTGGAGCACCAGGGGAGGATACAGAGCCCCCCCACAACGCAGCCCCTGCAGCCCAAGCCATAGCACCGGCTCTCCCCACCGTGACCACAGTCCCCTCGGAGCAGCCACCGGCCCCCCAACAGCCAGGAGAGGGTAGGTACGGGCCCCCTGCCCTGGCACCCCCCTCCCCAGCCTGCCGCACCAGCACCACTCTGCTCTTCCCCAACACCTCTGCCGAGCGCGTGGCCGTCCTGGGGCCGGGGCCGCGCCGGGGGCTGCGGGCGCTGTCACTCTGTACCTGGCTGGCCACCCCGGCCCCCCGCCTTGGTGCCCTCCTCTCCTATGTCACTGAGAATGGTGGCAGTGAGCTGGCTGTGCGTGGCCGTGGCGGGGACCTCCCTGGCTCTGCGCACTTCATCATCGGGGACAGGCAGTAACGGGAGCTCCCGGTGATGCCACTCCTGGATGGCAAGTGGCACCACATCTGCCTCACCTGGTCCTCCAGCCGGGGCCAGTACCATTTCTACATGGACCGATGGCTGCTGACTGCTGGCTCTGGCTTCTGGCAGGGCTATGAAATTCCCGCTGGTGGCTCACTGGTGCTGGGCTGGGAGTTGGACCACCCTGGCCAGGGACTTCAGCACCGCAGAAGCTTTTGTGGGTCACCTGGCTGGCTTCACTCTCTGGAGCTGGGCTCTCCTGCCCGGGGAGGTGGCCAGCATGGCAACTGGCCAGGGGCTGCCCCATGGCCCCCTCCTCACGCTGGCTGATGCCTCCCTGCAGGGCGGGGTGTGGAGGGTGGCGTGTCCCTGCTTCCAGCACTGCCTGTGACGAGCCTGGCAGCAGGAACGGTGCTGGCTGCCAGTGGTCATGGCTGTCTCACAGCGCCGGTGTCAGCGTGAGCTGCGTCCTCCCAGAGCGATGGGACACCTGGCAGAGAGGGCGTCTCAGGACTGGGGCCGGTGGAGGTGGGGAAAAGGAAAAGGGGTTTTGGCAGCCAGAATGGGAGAGGTGGGACCCAGTCCCAGGGCCTGTCTCAAGCCAGGAGGTCATCAGCTCCTGTCCCCAGAGGATGTACAGCCCAGTTGCTCCTATTAAAATGCTCCGGGTAGAGAAGAAACCTCATTTATTTCTGGTCTGACTTCACTGTAATGCTCGGTGCCACTTACAGCCGGGCAGGAGCTGCTCAGCGCAGGCAGCCAGAGCCCCAGGCTGGGTCATGCGTGGGTGACCCCTGCCCATCCCCCACCACTGAGTCAGACCCCGGGGGGGAAGTTGTAGCACGGAAAAGCCCATGACCGGCAGTGAGCCAGAGGTGCCGGAGCAGATGCCGCCTGTCACACCTGCCCAGCCTCCACGGACAGTGCCGAGCTTTGGGCCGAGCTGTGCTGCTCCGGCGGGGCTCAGGCGAAGCACACAAAACGCTGCCCTGGGAAATTCTCTGCCTGGAGAGCGGGAGCAGCACCGGCTGGGGCTGCACCCCGGGGGTGGCAGGGCCTTGCTGCCCGGCCACGGAGGCTGCAGTGGCCCCGCAGCCTCCCGGCCTGCCCTCCCCGCTGTCAGCCCCGCAGCCGAGCCTGTCCCCGGCCTGCCCCGCAGCCGCCTCCCGGGGACCGGGGCCCGCTGTTTCCCTGCGGATGGGCCACGGGGCCCTGCGGGCAGGACTACACTTCCCATGGTGCCGCGGGGCGGGGCGGCCCCCGCCGGCCGCCGTAGCGCTCACGTGAGGGTGGTGGTCATATGACTGCCCGGTGAGGCAGGGGCTGGCGGGGGTGCGAGGTGTTGTCGCCCTGCATGGCCAACGTCGCCAAGAAGGTGTCCTGGTCCGGCCGCGACCGCGACGACGAGGACGACGACGAGGACGGGCGAGCGGGAGAGACCACCCCTCTGCTCAACGGTACCGGCCCCGGGGCGGCGGCCGGCGCCCGGCAGGTGGGGACCGGCACACCGGGGCAGGGGGTCTGACCCGTCTCGGGCCTCCCTGAGACGAGAGGCCCCCCGGGGTGGGGCCGGGGCCGCGTCCCCCCCACCTTGTTGCCCTTTAATCGTGTTTGTGGCCCCGGGGATGAGCAGGTGGAGCCGCGGGATGTCAGGGCTCTGCTCCCCGAGCAGCCCCGAGGGGAGGTCGGGGCCCCTTCGGGCTCCCCCACGCCGGGGAAAGCTGATCATGGCAGGGCCCGGTGTGGGGAGAGGCTGGGAGGGAGTTACAGGGGCACGGGGTCCTTAGGTCACTCCTGGGGGAAAAACTGAGCGTGGGAACTGACTCACTGCCCAGCTGCTGCCCTGCAGCAGGGCAGTTCCACCACGGCCCGCTCCCATCATGAGGTGCTGGCACACAGCGGTGCCGGTGCCCTGCCAGGACCCCTCTACAAGGCAAGATCAAGTCCCCTCCTCAGCCACGGGTGCAGCCACACGGCTGAGATGGTCCCTGCCAGCCAGACCTCCCTCCTGCCTGCTGGGGCTGCCCTCTTCGTTTTGACTAAAAATGTTGTTCTGTGAGAGAGCCTGTCGCCTGGCATGCTGCTGCTGCCCAAACCAGCAGGTTGGGCTCAAATAACAGAGCAGCTATTGCCGGTGTGGCGGTGGGCATCCTGTGGTGTGTATGGAGCTACACTGGCAAAAGGCAAGTCCAGGGTGGGCCATGGTACAAACACAGGGAGGCCAATTCCTTCTTGCAAATTAATTTGGGGTAATTAACTGAAGAGAAACTTCTCTCCAGTGTACCTGGATGCTGTTATGTGGGCAGCCTGCCTAGCAGTCTCCGTTCCACATGCGGTGTGGTTAACTGAAGCACGGCATTGCTCTGGCCAAGGCACTCGGTGCCTGTTACAGAGCGAAGCTGTGGCTGGGTGGGATGTCGGGATGGGTCCACGGGACACTTCTGTGCCATCAACAGGTGGGAGAGGAGCTGCCTCCAGGTGACATTCTTGAATTTCCTCTGAAGAGTTTGCTGGGAGACTTGAGTTTAGATGGGGAGAAGTGGTGCCAGCCTTTGGCAGCTGTTAGCAGGGGTGCCTCACTGAACATGATTCTGTGCTGCCCTGCTTCTGGGCAAGTCAGAACAGCAGGCTAATTAGAGAGAAATACAGGGTTCGTTAGGCTGGAAGTACCTGGTGTAGTGCTGTGGGAGTGGGGCATGGCAGCTGGAAGGAGTCTTCTGTGCCACTGTAGTTCTGGTGTGAAAATAAAAATAATCTTCCTAACCTGTACAACAGGACCCTGTGTTGTACAAGTTGTCTTTAAACACCACGTGGTGAATTCTGCAGGTCTGAAGGGTGTTAAAATAGGGATTAACCAGATCTCATGGCTGTGGGTCAGTTAGAAAAAGGTTTTCCTGGTGGCTTGGAAGAAATGCCTGAGCCCCACTACAGCGGGGGGCAGTTGCTGGTGGGCACCTGGCCCTATCAACCTGATTTATTGTCACCGTGTCCCTTCACAGTGCGGACAGCTCAGATCCTGTCTGGTGACAAGGTGCTACGTGGCATTTTCCCTAGCAAAGGAAGAGAGCAAGTACCGTGCTGGAGCTCCAGACCTATGGCTGCCCAGTCCACGCATGCCCCTGGCAGTGACAGCTGGGTTGTCACTGTAGCACTGGGGTTGCCTTTTGGTGTAGGGCAGCTGCTTCCATCCCTTGGATGGTCCTTTGACCTAGATGCCATATAGTCCTATAGGTTGAAGTGGAAAGGCTGGACAGCTTCGGCAGAGAAACAGAGACTGGAGCTTCTTAGCTCACAGGAAACTTAAACTTGGGTTGTGGTAATGCAATAAAAATGTCCCCGGAGGAGCTTCTTCCCTTTCTCACATGCTTGTTTAATGGAAATGAAAGTGATCTTAAGGCGACAAAAGGAAATATGGGTCTATAGCTCCCTGGCTGACTGCTGTGACAGACTGAGATTGAGCACTTGTGGGCAGGAGGTGAGGAGGGTCTAGATAAACACGCCTGTGACCATAGAGGAGCTGCTACAGGGCTGTGCCTGGGGTCTCCTCCAGCTTGGGGGCCAGCTGAGCGCTGCTCTGGAGCTGACTGAGCCTTCGTCCTCTCACCAGGACTTTCTAGTGCCTCGAGTCTATCAAGAAGTGAGAGGCCGCCTTGTATGCCTGAGCATCGTGCCTGCTGTGGGCTGGCCCATGTTCTTGAGCTGTGCAGATCGGTTCTCTGGCTGAAAAGTGGGCGGACAGTATTAGTAAGAGCAGCCAATTTCCATCATTAGGTATTTTTTGAAAAATAACGTTTCTCCTTTGCTACCCGTCGAAGATATGCACCGTGTTTGTGCTAAAACTCCTTGCCTTTGGGCTTGGTATAATGCTCCTGCTCCAGAGGGTGCCTGAAACGGGGAGTATGATCGGCAGGTTACCAAAATGTGAACCAGGCTGCTGCTGCTGGGCAACTTGTCCTTCTTCACCCTGTGTGTTTATTCCGCATAGAATTCATAGAATGGTTTGGGCTGGAAGGGACCTCAAAGCCCATCCAGTCCCACGCCCCTGCCCTGGGCAGGGACCCCTTCCCCCAGCCCAGGGGGCTCCCAGCCCCGTCCAACCTGGCCTTGAACCCTTCCAGGGAGGGGGCAGCCACAGCTGCTCTGGGCACCCTGGGCCAACGCCTCACCCCCCGCACAGGGAAGAATGTCTTGCTTAGATCTTATCTAAATCTACCCTCTTTCAGTTTAAAACCATTACCCCTTCACCCTATCCCCACACCCCTGATCCAGAGTCCCTCCCCACCTTTCCTGTCCCCCCTTTAAGCCCTGGGAGGCCGTTCGAAGGTCTCCCCGAGCCTTCTCTTCTCCAGGTTGAACCCCCCCAACTCTCTCAGCCCGGCCTCCCAGGGGAGCTGCTCCAGCCCCCCCAGCATCTTCATGGCCTCCTCTGGCCCCGCTCGAGCAGCTCTGTGTCCTTCTGCTGTTGGGGACCCCCGAGCTGGCCCCAGCACTGCAGGGGGGTCTCCCCAGAGCGGAGCAGAGGGGGAGAATCCCCTCCCTCAACCTGCTGGCTACGCTTCTCTTGATGCAGCCCAGCATCTCTAGATGTTACTGGTCTTGTTTTCTTTGACTTCAAGTAACGGGGTGCAAAATGCAGCCTTTGTGGCCAGGTGGGGATGCTGGTGGTGATGCTGCAATCAAAATCTTGAGGTGGGGGAAGGGAGAAAGAGAAAAGTCTGCTGGTTGAGCCCTGATTCCTGGCAAATGGGCTGCAGGTTGTGTGTCCCTTGGGTACTGGCAGAGAGGCTGCCTGCCTGCTGCCTGGAGCTGGCCTCCCCAGTAAGCTGCTGCCCTCGGGTGGTGGCAGGAGCTTCCCTAAGTTTTAGCAAGCCCAGTCCCTTCTGCTGGGTGCTCGCAACGTCCGGGACTGTGGCGACGCTTTAACCTTGTGCTGCTTCTTTACGGAGAGGACACGTGGGACAAGGTGACTGGAGAGAGGCAGGTGGGCCAGGACAGTAACGGCATCGTGTAGGTGAGGGGCAAGGAGCCCTGGAGTGGCAGCGGGAAGCTAGAAGCAAAATTGTGGCTGAGTGGTGACACCACGGGGAGAGTCTAGCTGCTTTCTACGCCCTTATGGGCCTGGAGGTGAGGAGCCTTGTTCTCTGCTAGAGTGGTGCCTCTTGGGGATGGTGGCTGCATTGGTTTGAAGCCCATTGCAGCTGTGGCTGTGTGTCAGGAGGGGGATTTCAAAAGCCTGCCAGCTCATCTCCCCCGTACGCTGCCATAGCTGGGGACAGGGCTTCCCCTGCCAGTGAGCCACCCGGTGATGCAGCCTTGCATCCTGGAGCTCTCCTTCCCACCCAAGCAGGTATCGGGGCTCCTTGGCAGAGCGTACAGGGGCCAAGAGGGTCCTGGGGTCTGGAAA